GAACCTCTGTATTGATATTTCCAATGATTTGGTGAGGAGGATGTTTGCTCAACCATCTAACATCAGATGTGGTTGTTTTGGATTGAATTTGTTGTTCATCATCCTCCTCTTCTTCCTCTTCACTATTATCTGGTAGAGTAGGAAGATTGGAAATGTCATGAGTGCTTGGAAGGTTGTCTTTTGGTGAGTCATCTGCTGGCAGTGGGCTGTCAGTTGAGTCAACTGCTGGCAGTTGGTTGCCAATTGAGTCAACTGCTGGCAGTCGACTGCCTTTTGAATCAATTGCATTTTCATCCTTTTTAACACTATTATTTGGAAGGCAGCTTGGAGCCTTTTCAGTGTCCCTTGATTTTGATGACTCACCTTTATCTTTTTCTTGAGCAGTGGGGTGGTTTTCAAATACCACATGGATTGATTCTTCTACCACCAGAGTTCTTTTGTTGAGAATTCAGAATGCCTTGCTAGTTGTTGAGTAGCCCAGGAAAATCCCTTCATCAGATTTGGGATCAAATGGCTTGAGATAGTCTTTTCCATTGTTTAGGATAAAGCATTTGGATCCAAACACATGGAAATGACTGACATTAGACTTCCTTTCTTTCCATAGCTCATATGGTGTCTTCTTGTGAGTCTTATGAATAAGACTTCTATTTTGAGTGTAGCAAACAGTGTTGATTGCTTCTGCCCAAAAGCTTTTGGGTAATCCAGCTGCTTTTAGGATTGTCCTTCCTGCTTCCTTGAGAGTTCGGTTTCTTCTTTCAGCAACACCATTTTGTTGAGGTGTTCTTGCTGCTGAGGTTTGATGATAGATTCCATTTTCTTCACAGTACTGAATTATGATTGAGTTGAGAAATTCAGTACCTCTGTCTGACCTGATCTTCTGGATTGAGAGACTTTTCACATTTTGAATTAGCCTCATCAGTTCAGGCAGTTTCTTCTCTGTTTCATTCTTCTTCTATAGGAATATGGTCCAATGTATCTAGAATAATCATCAACTACAATCAGGGTGTACCTTCTACCACTTAAGCTTATTGGTTCAACTGGTCCAAACAAGTCAAGGTGTAGAAGACTCAAGGGCCTAGTTGATGATTCAACTTCTTTTGATTTGAATGATACCTTGGTTTGTTTCCCTTTTTGGCAAGCATCACAGAGGTGGTCCTTTTTGAAGTTGATTTCAGGGAGTCCCTTTACCAAACCTTTTCTGAACAGTTTGTTGATTGTTTTGAAGTTTAGATGGCTTAATTTGTTGTGACATTCCCAACTTAAGTTTAAATCTGCCTTTGTTACTAAGCAGATTCCTTCCTTTACAGAACTCCAATCAACAATGTACATGTCCTTCTTCCTTCTACCAGTGAGCACAATTTTGTCATTTTTGACATATCTGATCAAGCAGATGTCTTTGGAGAATGTAACGTTGTAGCCATTGTCACAGAGTTGGCTTGTGCTTATGAGATTGAACTTTAAACCCTTAACATATGATATGTTTTGGATTGTAAGTCCATTAATTGATAGGTCTCCTGCTCCTTTGGTTTCTCCTTATTTTTCTACATTCCCAAATGTTACCTTGGGTCCTTCCCTTGCTGTATAGTTTGACAGGAGCCGCCTGCTGCCCGTCATGTGCCTGGAGCAGCCTGAATCTATGTACCATGTATGTGTTTCAGCTGCTCCGGCACCTTCCTGTATAAATTAATGTTGAGCAGTAGCCCACAGGTTAGTGGGCAACTTCCCTTGTACAAGTTTAGGCATCCATGCCCATCTAGAACCATTGAGTTCTAAGCAGATTGGTCTATAGCCATTTGAGGTGGTGTAATCAAAAGGGATGGCTATATACTTGTTAATCCTTTTCCTCCTTGAGGTGGGAAGTGGATTATTTATTTAAGGAGTCTGCTTGGTATTTTTGCTGTGGTTGATCTTATTGATTGGTTGCCAACGGGTTCTTTGGTTTAGATGGTGAGGAGGTGTTGATTTATACATGTGTTTGGATTTTGGTTTGGGAGCAGGTTGGTTCCTTCTTTTGGGAACATTTGGGGGATGGAGATTTTGGTAAGAGAGTTTTCTCGTGTATGAAGCATTGCTTGTAGATGTACTGTTTTGAGTGAGTCTGGTGGGGGATGAGTAACCAAGACCTCTTTTCTTCCTTTTTAGAGTAACTTCAGCAGTAGGGTGAAAGTCTTTCCTATTTGTGCTGGAGTTTCTCAGCTCTTTGTTCTCTTTTTCTAAGACATCATTTTTCTTTAAGGCATCTAGTAATTTGTTATGAATGACCTTAATGTCTTGTTTCAGTCTATCATTTTAAGCATTCAAGAGAACGTGGTGATTTTGGACTTTCTGGAAATCTTGTAATAAAGATTCCAGTGTTATATTGTTTGGTCCAGAATCACTAAAGCTATAGGAGGAGCAGGATGTTACCTCGACATCGTTGTAGTGGTCCTTGGCCATTAAGCATTTGGGAGAGCTGCTTTCATTATTTTCACTTGAGCTGGTGGAAGATTCACTGAGCCACCTGCTGCTCTCTGTAGTGAGACAACTGCTGCCATCTTCACCCACCTGCCAGGATCCCAGGCATAGAAGTGCTTCCTTTGAGCTCTCTGATGAAGAGATTTCATCACTTGAGATGCTTTCATCTTCAGATTGGGGTTCCTCCTTTTTCTTTTCACTAACAAAGGCTTGTCTTTTGCCTTTGAAGTCCTTCTTGTAACCAGCTTTGTAACCAGTCCCCTGCTGCCCTTGATATTTCTGGGCTAAAGGCAGAGGGCATTCATTTTTGTAATGTCCTGGTTGTCTACAGTTGTAGCACAGGACAGTTTCCACGCTGGTTTGAGGTCTCCCTTGTCTCCTGGGTGGCAGATTGTATGGTCTTTTTGGAGCAGTTCCCTCCTTCTTCATGAATCTTTTAAACTTTCTTACAAACATGGCAAACTGGTCGTCAGTAAGGAGGTTGTTGGGGGATTTTTCACTTGATCTTGAAGGTCCGAGCTCAGACACTAGAGCTGTCTTGGATTCATCTTCCTTTTCTTCTTTTATTTCCTTCATCTCAAGTTCATAGGCTTTGAGATCACTGAAGAGCTTATCAGTTGAAAAGATTCTTAGATCTCTGCTATCTCTCATAGCAGTCACCTTCATGTCCCATTTAGAGGGCAGGCCTCTCAAGACTTTAAGGGAAATCTCTTTTTGAGGTAGATCTTTCCATAGGTCTGAGACCTCTGCTGTGATCTTTAGGAACCTGGATTCCATCTCATGGATGGACTCATTTTGCAGCATTTTGAAGTCCTCAAATTTCTTGAGGGCCATGGTTAGTTTATTGTCCTTCTCCTGTTCATCACTAGCTCCAATTTTTGTGAGCTCATCCCAAACGTCCTTTGCAGTCTCACATTTCCTAATCCTGGGAAATATGGATTCATCAACATATTTGAAGAGAATATCCGTGACAATGTTATCAAGGTTATTTCTCTTTCTGTCCTCAGTTGTCCATTCTAGTTTGGGCTTGGGAATGTACACATCCTCCTGGTCATCAATTTTGGATGTGCTGACATTCATTATCCTGATAGGTCCAGTAGTGATTACTTCCAGAATCTCATCATGTAAGGCACTGAGATGTGCCTTCATCCTGATTCTCCGATCATCAAATTTGTTTAAGTTGAATAGGAGGTTTTTTGCTAGTTGACTGTCCATTGTTTAGAAAGTGTTTGGGAAGAATAGTGGTTTGAGATCTTTAGTTCAAATTAGTCAGAAACTGACTCTAGGAACACTCCGCTCTGATACCACTTGATGGTCCCGGATAGGGTAAAAGTCTAGAGGGGGGTGAATAGACTTTTAAATCTTTTTCGACTTTTGAAAGTTTTCCCTCTAGATGAGTTGATCTTTAAATCTTTTGAGAGATTAATAGATGCACAGCGGAAGTCTTTACCCTTTGAGTGATGAGTGTTTAGCCACTTTCTAACTTGGAGAGTGTTTTGGATTAGAATGCTAGCAGTTGGCTTAGCAGGTGGCTAAGAGCAGGGAACTGCTGAGGCAACTGCTCAGGAAATGGAGAGTGTATGATGGAGGTAGAGATAGTTGTTTGATGAGTATGATGTGGGCTTTTGGTAGGTATGCTTAAATGAGGGGAGACTAGATTTTTGCTGAAGCAGTGGACTCGGTAGTTGGGTGAATATGAGGGAACTGCTGAGGCACCTGCTCGGTTCAAAAGCTTATTGGGTTAAGCAACCTTCTTGATGAGGTATTGACAATCTGGTGATGTTTGAGATAGTGACTTGAAACAAGTATGTATGAGCAGAGGGCTCAGCAGTTGGGTGGATTCCAGGGAACTGTTGAAGCACCTGCTGTACTTAGAAAATGAATTTCAGAGAACTGAAAGAGTGATCCTTTTAGATGTTGTTGGTGCACGTCATAGGTATGAATTCGGTCTCAAAGAAAGTGAGTAATTAAGCAGTAGGATAAGCAGTTGGGTCAATTAAGACAACTGCTTAGGATTCTGCCGGCAGACTACAATCTTTATGTGAGAAGTGTTTGGTGTGTGCTTTGTTGACTGAAATGAATTCAACACACGATATATCCTGGTTCAGAGGTGGTGTAATCCTCCTACGTCCAGTCCCACCCTCTTTCAGATGGATTTCACTAAAGTATTAAGCCCAATACACTTAGTGCCAATCTAGCCTTTACAACTCTTAGGCCTAGATTGAAGGTTTTTCACGATGAGTATAACACCACTCAAAGTTACTCAGTCATTAGACTCTTCTCTAATGAACCAGTGGGGATCAAAAGGTACTCTATCTATCTACTTACACTGTAGGATCCGAACAACTGTTCTCCTAAGTGTTTACAGCAATATGTGATTTGTTATAAGAAAGTTCTAACCTCCAACTAGGAACTATATTCTATGATTTAGCAATGAAAAGCTTTGTAAACTGGAAGTTTAGTGAAGCATGAGTCCAAACAGAGAGTAAAGTTTTAAATAGCACTTTCTCTTTTGCTAGATATCTCGTAAAAGCTCGTGATAGAAATTCTCTTTGGATGCTCAAACGCTTGGTTAGAAACTTTCGTTTCAGTCTATATTTATAGGCATCTCCTTTGAATTAATCTCATCCATTGGTTAGGATGGATTAATCTTTGACGTTGAAATTCTGGCAAGGACAAATTGTACATTCGTCTTCTTGTGCTGGAGCTTTAATTCGGGCTGAATCATTTGTCTTGAATAATTCACCCGCTGGAGCTTCACTTCAAACTGCAGTCCCATGTGTATGTACATGACTCCGGACCCAGTACGTATTTGGCATTAAATGCCGGTCAATGTTTGTCTCTAATCATTCATTTGATACTTCTAGTTTCTTTTATCTAAAAATGTGACATACGAATAACATTTGAGTCAAATAGTATTTGTCGGTAGGATTCAAATATCCTATTTAAGGTAAAGAAAATTTACCTTATTGCATTTTTACTTTTCCGGTAATATTTCTTAGACTCAAAAGTTGTACATTTAATTTGTCACGTAAATACTAGAACAAAATGAGACACAATGTACACGTGCTTGGTATAGTGGCATCATCAAAATCTTATCAAAATTGGGTACTAACAATTTCCCCCTTTTTGATGATGCCAAAACTATACAAGCTCCTTTACCTCTACCTGGGTAGTTGAAAATAGAAACTACTTTGTCATATGAATCCTCGCTAATGTCATCGTTCCGAGCAGGTCTCTTTCTTTTACTGATGACTTCACGCTCAAAATAAAAAGATGAAAACTTTGAGGTTTCTTGTTTAATATATGCTTGACAAATTGAAGCCTCAATGTGTGCCTTGTTGGTCGCTTTCTTTTTCAACTCTCCCAGAAATCTGTCATGCAAAATAAAATTTGTAAACAAACATATGTTCTTATTAAACAAATCATCGTTTATAAATGAAATTGTGACTAACCTTTCAAATCTGCATCCAACGATAGAAGATGGGCCATCCATTCAAAGCCTCATATGGAAGATTTCTTAGAAGATGTTCCATTACATCAAAAAATGACGGGGGCAGTATCTTTTCCAAATTACACATCTGAATAGGAACAATGTCTTCTAGTCTCTTGAGAGATTCGGCATCCAAAACAGTGGAACATATCGACTGAAACAATTGATTGATTTCGGTAATACAGCCCCAGACGTTTGCAGGAAGCATCTCTTTCAGTGCAATCGGCAGAAGCCGTTGCATGATTGCATGAGCATCATGAGTTTTCATGCTCGACGTCATTGTTTGTTTGTCCAGGTCCACGCATCTTGACAGATTAGAGCAATAGCCATCTAGAAAGTTTAGATAAACAAGACACTCTAATATTGATTCCCTTTGTGGTTCTGTGAGTTGGTAGACTGCTCTTGGAATTTTTTTACCCACATATTCTAGATCGACGGCGAGTTCGGGTCTGTCGCACCAAATTGTCATGTCTTTTCTAGATGCAAGACCGTCTTTGGTTTTGTGGGTAAAATCCATAACCGTGTTAAATATATTGTCAAAGACGTTCTTCTCAACGTGCATGACATCTAAATTGTTACGAATGAGAAGGACCGAGGCAATAACTAATATATTGTCAAAGACGTTCTTCTTAACCGTGAGCAATAACTAATATTGTTAAATATTATCTCTTTAATTCACAATAATAATTCACACTAAACTAATAAAGTTTCAATCCTAACTTAATTAAATCACTACAAATCCTAAATTATGCATTAACAATAATTGCTGATAAACAAACCGGCCTAATCATTGGTGATATAAACTCATTTCAATTAACTAATTAATATTTATATTTAACTAATATTTAAATTTAACTAAATTACGTTAATAGTTTAATATATTGTTAATAATATGAAAATTAACATGACCTCACTAAATTACGTTAAAATTACGTTAATATATAGTTTAAATAAATGAACAACTAACCTCACTAATAATTTATTACATAATTAAAAGAAATTAGTTAAAATGACATATCTTATCTGCATAAACAGGAAAAATGATGAACTGACAGATTACATCATTCAATCTTTAAACCGATACTACATCACTCGAATCTACGAATTTTTGAACTGATAAGTGTTGTTCTTACAACTCCTTTTCTGTACTGTATTATTAAAGGTTATCGCTGGAAAATCAATAATTGAGGGTTGTCACGGAATTTGTCACGGAATTTGTCACGGATCCGTCCGTGACAAACATTTTTTGAATTTTGTCACGGATTTTGTCACGGATCTGTCCGTGACAAATGCCCGGGAGCAAAAAAAGTTTTGACCGGAGTAAAAAACCGGTGACTGGAGTAAATTTGTCACGGACCATAGCCGTGACAACGAATTGTCACGGATTTTGTCATGGACGTATCGGTGACAAAACGTATTCGTGACAAATCCCATTTTTCCGTGACAAAGACCGTGATAACTTTGTCACGACCGTAATCCGTGACAAAAATCCTTGACAAAACGCTTGCTTTTTTGTAGTGACACAACTTTTAAAAACAAAGCTTCTTTAACTTTTTATAGGTAATATATAATCTTACTAAGCACTTTGTTAAAAAAACGGGAAAATATTCCTTTTCTCAAGTATAATTCAAGATATATTTATTCTTTGGCTTCTCTTTTTCTTTATTTATTTCTAATATGTTTGCATTATTTTGTTTATGTTATTTTTTTATGGTATATATGCATTTGATTTTTTCCCCCAACATTTTTTTATAAAAATTCAAAACCGAAATGAAACAAATTGAAGCAATTAAAAATTCAAATTTGTCACGGATCATAGCCATGACAACGAATGGTCAAGGATTTTGTCATAGACGTATCCGTGACAAAACGTATTCGTGACAAATCCCATTTTTCCGTGACAAAGACCGTGACAACTTTGTCACGACCGTAATCCGTGACAAAAATCCTTCACAAAACGCGTGCTTTTTTGTAGTGTGTACACAACTTTTAAAAACAAAGCTTCTTTAACTTTTTATAGGTAATATATAATCCTACGAAGCACTTTGTTAAAAAAACGGGAAAATATTCCTTTTCTCAAGTATAATTCAAGATATATTTATTCTTTGGCTTCTCTTTTTCTTTATTTATTTCTAATATGTTTGCATTATTTTGTTTATGTTATTTTTTATGGTATATATGCATTTGATTTTTCCCCCAACATTTTTTATAAAAATTCAAAACCGAAATAAAACAAATTGAAGCAATTAAACCATGATTTCATATTTTGAAATGCAAAATTAAATCGAACCAAACTTTTTACTTTGGTTGCGTGTTTGATTTTGGAGTTTGGCTAAAAACCAAACTCAAAATTCTGAACCACCCCTATCAATGTAAACTAGTTTAGCCACATTGCAATGAACCACCATCGCTCGACTAATTGTTTTCATGGTCCCGGCTCCCTCAAAATTGATTCTAGTTCTAGTTGTCTTTTGTAGTCTATAGGATTTTAGGGATGGACAAAAATAGTGAGCTGACATGGTAGTTAAGACACAAATAGGGTTCAAAATGGATCATCAAAAACATATTCACTACAAACAAATTGTCATATATCAACAATAACAAAAGCGTTGGTATATATATATATAAACTTTTGGAATAGACATCAATTAGCTATACCAACGAAAATACTAGCTAGCTATTCCCATAGAATCTCTATTGTTAATATACATTCTGTCGATATAGACCAACACCGACATATTTCTTACTCGTGGGAATAGCTTTTTAACTTGTACCAACAAACCAATAAAATTTAGTATTTACATTTACCTTTAGTATAGACTACTCGTGGCAATAGCTTATTAACTTGTACCAACATATTTCTTACTCGTGGGACTCGGCCCGGACCAGTACTGTTTAGTCCCGGCCCTTCCCGGTCAATTGGTTCAAGACTAGGACCGGCCCGCGACCTAGCCCGGTCAACCGGCCCGGGACCAGGCCCGGTCAACCGATCCGGGACCAGGCCCGGTCAACCGATCCGGGACCAGGCCCGTCAACCGGTCCAGGACCAGGCCCGATGACCTGACCCGGGATTTAATGAGGCGGGCTACGGGCTGTGTTTCAAGGTGATCGGCCCGATCTGGGCCTAATTTTTCAAGGTGGGTGGGGCTGGACGGTTTGGGGGTGGGGTGTTGGAATTAATTTGAAAAGACAAAAAATAAATAAAAATAATTCATGCTCGACCCAGTCTCGGTACTAACCCGGGCCGGTATCGGGCCTGAATATTTTGGACACGGAGCTCGCCCAAGCCCTGCCCGACCTGGTCTCGGTCCACCCCTAGACTATAGACATGGAACAGTTTTACCTAACTTTTTACTATAGCAACGGTTAATATACCTCTGCTATTGTTCTATTATATGAAAGAATAATAATTACTTAATATTTACATACACAAACACCACATCCAAAATAGAATTATAATTTGCAAGAAAAAATAAAAACATCATTCAATGTATTTATTAGAATTACTAGCACCGATCTTTTTATACAGTGAAAAACATCTATACTCAACCAAAAATATAACATCAACTACTAATACCAAATTTGTTGATAAAATATAAATGCAAGTCAAGTCATTATAATGCAGAACTTTGTCTTGTTTTATATTGAATCAAATCTTGAAAACCTATAAAGTTCAGATCACTTCAACCATCTACATAGTTATAAAGTTTTAACTAGTTGGGGTGGGCTGTGGAAATCTAGCCCGCTCAAATGGTGGGCTGGCCCACTTTCTTTGGCTTGGTAAGCACTGCCAGGGGCGGATCTAGCATTTACGTTCAGGTGGGGCCAAAATTTAATTAAATAACGTATATTATAAAAAAATGTCAAAATGTAGTACAGTATAATACTATCTTAGAAGTCAAAATGTAAATTATAGAAATGTCAAAGAATAAATTGAATATTACAGAACCGACAATACAATTATCTTAAAAGTCATAGATATCGAACCGAAGTTTTATCGGTTACCCAAATGTTTAGTGCCAATTTTTAGGTTAGTTTCTCGGAAACAAGATAAACCGATTTTTTTACTCTAAAATTTATACTCTATGTAAAGAAAACTTATTTTCACCTACGAAATCCAATGTATTAAACTAATTAATTTTTCGGTCAATATTCAAAAGCCCAATGAATTAAACTAATTAATTTTTAGGACAAAATTCAAAAAGCTCAATCAATTGAACTAATTGGTTTTTCAGACTAATAAAGCCCAATTAGTTGGACTACTTAATTTTTGCATCCTAGTATTCAAAAGTTAAAATTCAGACTTGATTTGTGTAAGATAGCATGTTCCTGGACTTGGATGAAAAATACAAAAAAAATGCTGCTCCAGCTAGGAATCGAACACATAACCTCTACACTACCAATCACGCCTCTACCATCACACCAACGTAACTTTTGTTTACAATAGGACGTTTGTTCTAATTATAACATTTCTTCCCAGTACATATATAATATATATACTAGTAATTTCTTTTCTTTTTTTGAGGTGGGGCCTAGGCCCTCCCTGGCCCTATGCCAGATCCGCCCCTGAGCACTGCCCTAGTTGATGTCATGGGTATGATCAGTCTCCACGTCTCCTCTCTCCCCCGTTCCCTCCCCGATGGCACATTTGTGGGAAGTTGGAGAAATCCATATTCTAATAATAATACATGTCCATAGTTAGGAACATATGGATATCCACGTCTCCTTGAACCACAACTAGTTAGGCCCTAGTTGATATCCGCTCAGTTGGGAACATATTAAACTCATTCCCGATCGTGCTTATTGGCCGACTTACACTGGATCGCGAATTGTGCACGATCATTCCATGCTTCGTGCAAAGAGATGACCAAAGTCCACACGAATTAAGAATGAGATGGATGAAGGTGGAAGAGGAACCGTTAGATGTGGATTATGCAAACAAACCGGCCATAATAGGGTCACATGTGCGAAGAGATCTTCAGGAGATGGTGGGGGTCCACTGGGTAAGGTTTTACTTCTTAAAATCTACAACTCCTACTAATATGAATTTAAAAAAAACAATTGATTAAAAATTATTAATTGATTAATGACTTATACACCTTTTCATTTATTGTAGGCACTATGGAGGTGTCAGTGGATCCAGGGCCGATTGATCATTATGTCCTGACATTGCAGGCCACACATAGGATTGAGGACGTGTGGCGTGGCCTTGATGTGCAGGTTGATAGGTGTCGAGAGCACCTCCGTACTTTATCCCACGTGCAAGTGGACGATAGAGTGTTAGCGCATGTTAGAGCAACAATTTTTTTGTGTGTTCACAGATTGGTGGCTACAGTCCCACTTGATAAAGCTCTACTCACAGCTTTTCTTAGCTTTGGAGGCAGGAGACACACAAATTTCACCTTCCAATTTGGTGAGGTGACAGTGACCTTGGGAGATGTGACTGTATTGACGGGCTTACAGGTCCATGGGAGAGCAGTTACAAGTACTGCATGTCGACCATGGGTTGAGGATGTGGAACAATTGTTGGGTGTTCGCCCCCCTCTCTAGACAGACATTCATGGGTGATCTCTATTCTTCATTGGAGGCAGATGATGTGATGATTCAACATCATGCACATGCATACATTTTGATGCTGATGGGAGCTTCCATTTTTTGCTGACAAGAGCAGAAATGAGGTTCAAGTGCTGCACTTGCCGATGCTAGAGAGACTTGATGTAGCTGCATACTTCAGTTGGGGTAGTGCCACTCTAGCTTAGGCGTGGACTCGGGTCGGGCCTAGGCTCGGTCGGGCCGCCGGTTTGTATGACATGGGCCCGGGACCGGCCCGAGGGTTGGACGGGTCTGGTTCGGGTCGGGCCACCTGCCCGGGTCACGGGTCGGGTCCGATTCGGGCCGGGCCGGTTAAAGTTTTTTTTTATATAATTTATATTTTATAGTTTATAGTTTTATACGAGTATTAAAAACAAACTTCAAGTGCATTTATTTGAAATGAAATAGGAACTACATTTGAAAATTAAAACAAACTTTAAGAGACAAACATTTTGAAAATTGTAATCAATCGGAACTTCCCGCACCTCCCGATCCTTTCGTTTTGTCACATGACTTCATATGCTTGATTGTCATCCCGTATCCGCCTGAAACCCCCATGCTACATTTTTTCTCGCACCATTTGCAAGTTGCGTACCACATCCCGGTCTTCGGGTCCTTCTGCTTATCAAAATTATACCGTATAATGGCATCTTGATTTTCCATCTTAACTTCTTAAGTATAAACTATAAAGTAGATATAAAAATAATAAATATAATATATTGGAGAATAAGAGAATTAGAGAGTAGAGAGTTAAGAATAGGATTTAAGAAGAATTGGAGAAGAGATATGAAAAAATGTTTAAGATTAGGAGTATTTATAGGTTTTTTTACCCCCCACCCCCCACCACCACCCCACCACCACCACCCCACCACCCAACCCCCCCGGACCCCCCCCAAGACCCACTCAACGGCTATGTAGCCGTTTGGGTTCTCCCCAGCCCACCCATAACGGCTAATAGCCATTAAAAAAAATTAAAATATGACCGTTGGACCCGGACCCGGGGCCGGGTCGCATTTTTCCGGAACCGTGCCCGCCCCGCCCATTCCCACCGGTTCGGGTCTACACCCGGTCACGGACCGCCCGACCGGGCTGGTCTCGGGCCCGCACAGTACCGGGCCAGGCCGGGTCACGGGCCGGGTGGCCCAAACCGAATCCACCCCTACTCTAGCTTATCTGTATAGGCAGCTGCGTCAAGGTTGTCAGAGTGGGAGCACATAGGTCTTTTTTTTGCTTTTATTACAGATTTGGTCATGGGAGTACATTCACATTAGGCACCCCATTATAGTACGATATCATGGACTAGATGGACACCCACTTCATGACCAGTCTCCAATGCCACGCCTCCTTGGACCAGGGGCGGATCTGGCATAGGGCCAGGGAGGGCCTAGGCCCCACCTCAAAAAAAGAAAAGAAATTACTAGTATATATATATTATATATGTACTGGGAAGAAATGTTATAATTAGAACAAACGTCTTATTGTAAACAAAAGTTACGTTGGTGTGATGGTAGAGGCGTGATTGGCAGTGTAGAGGTTATGTGTTCGATTCCTAGCTGGAGCTGCATTTTTTTTGTATTTTTCATCCAAGTCCAGGAACATGCTATCTTACATAAATCAAGTCTGAATTTTAACTTTTGAATACTAGGATGCAAAAATTAAGTAGTCCAACTAATTGGGCTTTATTAGTCTGAAAAACCAATTAGTTCAATTGATTGAGCTTTTTGAATTTTGTCCTAAAAATTAATTAGTTTAATTCATTGGGCTTTTGAATATTGACCGAAAAATTAATTAGTTGAATACATTGGATTTCGTAGGTGAAAATAAGTTTTCTTTACATAGAGTATAAATTTTAGAGTAAAAAATTCGGTTTATCTTGTTTCCGAGAAACTAACCTAAAAATTGGCACTAAACATTTGGGTAACCGATAAAACTTCGGTTCGATATCTATGACTTTTAAGATAATTGTATTGTCGGTTCTGTAATATTCAATTTATTCTTTGACATTTCTATAATTTACATTTTGACTTCTAAGATAGTATTATACTGTACTACATTTTGACATTTGTTTATAATATACGTTATTTAATTAAATTTTGGCCCCACCTGAACGTAAATGCTAGATCCGCCCCTGCCTTGGACCACATCATCGATGGGGCGAGGACCCTCTGGGGCGTCAGTATGTTTTAGAAGATTATATTTATGTTATTGTATGTTCTGAATAATTATATTAATTATATTTATATTAATATATACTATATGAATAAATATATACTATATGAATAAATGGCTATTTACTGATCTTTGTCGCACATCATCAGCTTCTGGACTCGGTTTCTATAGGGATGCATTTGATCACATGTCTGATGATCAGATTTGGTGTACATAATATAACATTAACTATCATATAAATAACAGTAAGACTAATTTTTATCCTTTTGAAACAAATTACATGGATGCCATATACATTCCAGATGTTAGAGGAGTTGCCCCAGACAGGACAAGAGCATTATGATATATGGTGAGCACGTGTCCCGTTGATGTGTTTTGATATTGTGGAGCTTCATTTGCCTGATCTTATGATGCGTTAGTTTGACTATGAGCGGGTCATTCCAGTAGCTGTGGACACATGTGTGGATCTTCGTAAGCTTGATAGGCGGGGGGAAGCCTACAAAGGATTGGTCGCCCAGACATGTGCGATACGACCCTATATGGGAGAGGCGAGCGGAGCTTGTTGTGAGTGGGACGCCGACATTACTCCCATCTGTTTCCGTAGACTACATGAGATGGTATTACATCATTACACGGTTGTTTGTCTCTACTTCTTTCAGACTCCCTACTCATCATTATCAGCTTAGTTCCATGGCTTTGCACTTGACGGTGAGTGTGCTACTAATTACTAAAGTAATTTATGTTCTTTATTTAACATTTTTTTTATTTGAAATTAATTATAATTCATGTTTAACATTTCGGACACGGGCTTTGCAGCGTATACATGAGCGAGCGACTGACGCAATGAGTGACACGCATGACATGGACACGTACGATTAGGTTTTGACGGGCAATTCTTGCTTGTGTTCAGATGTGTTGGGGCAAGTGGACTATGGACATCTTATACATATGACATCCTCTCAGGATTCTATGGCATCGACATCTACCGCAGCAACAACTTCTACATCCTCGGATCGGCGTGATAGAGTTGTTCTTCAACCACGTCAGCAGCGTAGGCGTATGTGTGAACAACCACAGCTCCATGACCAGGACGATCAAGAAGTCCATGAAAACTTGTAGTCTGTCTCCATTATTGGACTTTTTCAAGTACCCCGAATGTTGTAGAATTTCTTGAATCTGTGAAATACTTTACTTTATGACGTATGTTCACTTGCAAAGTATTGGATATTAGTTACTTAATCATTTGTTTATGATGTGTTTATGTGTTGGATTATGCATAGGATAGGAAATGGAAAGTGATGCTTGGTTGATGTGTTGGGTTGATGTGTTGATATTACTCTTATGTTTTGATCTGTGTTTGTCACTGGGTTGCTGTCAAGTTGTCTTATGTTTTGATATGTATTTTTTTATGTTTTGTGTTTTTGCAAGTGCAAGGGGAAAGACAGCAAACGGTTTGGTGACTTGCAAGTCGCCACCCCTCAACTCAGGTTAAGCCTAACAATAGATCGGTAAATACTTTTAACTAGGCATTATTTCAGTAATTATTTATTTAATCCGCATTAATTCGGAAAAAAACTTGATTATTCTTTTAAAATAAATCTATGAAAATGGTTAAAACCGGACAAATGGAAAAGAAAGCTCTAAATAAGTTAAGAATGATTTATGATTGCAATCAATATACTGGATAACTAAGGAGACTGCTCAAAGTGAAAGTTGTGTGAATTACTAGTCTATTAGTATTGAGCTCTAAATATACAGGGTATGAGCTGGCCCTCTTTCCTTGTCACTAAGGTTTATCTTTACATGACAGTCGAATGGACACAAATGCATGTTATTGGATTAAAAAAAAACTGAACATACATCATCTTCTTCCTTAAATTTTTAGACACAACTCTAACTTTTAATTTAAATTTTAATTTAAGGAAATGCAAAGGTGCAACTCCAATTTTAAATTTAAATAAACTTAACTGTCAAAGAAAAGCCATGGCTATAGCTCAAGGCTTTTCGCCATATTTTTTGCTTGTGAATGAAGAAATTTAGCTGTTCTTTGATCAAAGCTGGAGATTATTTGTATTCTATAGAGTTCGAATATTGTTCTCTGTCATTTTTGCAACGTTTTCGCATTGAAGGAGATCGAATGTCAGATTAAAGCTATTGATAGACACACATTTTTCCTCGATTGAGAGATGCATGCAAAAATGAGAATATAGTCGCAAGAGGTAAAGGTGTGTCGTCAAATAACGTCTTGTGTTGGAATGGGGTTCGGCATATGAGAACGCAGCAGTGTTGGACAATCTGAAGTTGTCGTCCAGTCTACTAGTATTAACTACACGGTACAAGCGAGCCAGGCATTCACAGAAATTGGGATGGACTTCTCATGAATGCACCATTGGAGGTTATCCACACATCTCATGGAAGTCAAGGGCTGGAATTTCAAAATTAAATCCAAAAATGAAATATAATGATGGAATTCATACCTTAATGACGAAGATACGACGTTCAGAAGTTGTGCAATTGATCTACTTCAAATCCATGGCCAAATCGGTGAGCCTGCGAGTTGCGAACAATAAAGCAGTGTTTCAGATTTGAAATGGTTAACGATAGATCTAAAAAAGCCAAGTGTAGATACCTGGATAAACGGCCAGTACGACAGAATGGAAGGCTAGAGCCGAATAGACTAAATGAGTTTTTGGAATGGTTTCTCTATCTGTTTTTTGTAAGATTTCGAGTTTGGTATTATGAGCTCTATTTTAACTCTTGGAAGCTCCAGTCCAGCCCTTTAAGGAATTCACATACTATATTTTTAAATTTAGTGGTCAATTTTTTACTTACATTTTTAATTATAGTTGTTGGAATATGTAGCACTATAACTACGAATATGATTTTAATATAGGGAATACATAACCTATACCAACAAAGTAAACTAGCCGTAGGAATTGATATTCTAGTTACCAACAAAAAATATTAATTGTTGGTATATGTTAGGTCCCCTAGATTTTGATTATCATATATTGATTTGATGATGCCACCCCTTTTTAAATATCCTTGTAATAGACTAGAGCTTGTATTTGTTCTGCTACTATTTATTGTAATGTGCTCCATAGTGATAAAGTACTCAAGAAAAACAGAGAGTACTAAAAAGAGAAGAAATGTACCTGATGGAGTATATTGGTCTGAGCCCCAGGACCCACATACTCGGAAGAACAGAAAGCACAAAGACAACAGAGTGGCGCCCTCGTCGGCCAAGACGCCCCCGTCGGCCGAAAAGGGGCCACCTCGGATTATGGTCCTGAGTCCAAAGAACCCGGGTGCCCTCGTCGGCCGTGCCCTCGTCGGCCACGCCCTCGTCGGCCACGAAGACCTCACAGAATCGGATTTTATACTCACTCATTTGTACAGCCCATTAGTGGCTTTGTATTCGGCCCAGTAGCGGTCCAGTTGTAAATGGGCCTCCCAAGCCCAAGGCTTGGGAGCCCAACCCTAATTTTCTCTATAAATACTCCCCTTGGGAGTAGTTATGGGGGTTACGAAATCATTCTATTGAGGCATATTATTGCACTTCTCTCTCTAGCTCTCACTTCTCTCTAGAATCTAGGAGTTAATACTCCATCATTTGGTGCTCTCGTTGAGAGCTAGAACAATCAAGTTAGCACCCTTCGTCGCTACCAAGCACAGCTAACCACTGACCATGGGGAGAACTAAGTCAAACCGCAACCTCGTCAGCAAAGTCATCCCTGAGGACCAAGAGCCCAGGGAGCACGATGAGGACGCCACGGCCGACCAGGTCGGCGGAGATGACCTCTTCCAGGAGGCCTTCAACCTCACGACGGACCTCCGCAACCAACTCAACGGCGGAGTCCCCGACGCCCGCCTCGGCCTGGAAAAGAAACGAGCTGAGAAAGCGGACCACGCCCCGGCCCAGCCTATGGCCGCGGCCTCTCCGTCCGTAGATCCCCAGGTCCAGGCCGCACTGTCGGCTATCATCGCCAGCTTGGCTCAGAATCCCACCGTCCTCAGCGCACTCTTGCCAAGGACCGGGGGAAACGTCACTCCGCCTCCTCATCCCCAACCACTGGCCGACCAGATAGGCAACAATGAGGGGGTTGTGGCCCAGGACACGGCGTCGTCTCATTCCCACCCTGCTTCCCCTCTTCGGCCCGGGCAGACCCCAGCGCGTGGAAAAGCCTCTGCCTTCAATAGGCTTGGTGACACGCGCCGTCGTCCGGTTTCGGAGAGGATGGCGGGACGGATTGGTGATCCTCGTCCTGGCTCGCCAAGGGAAAGCTTGGGGTCTGTGTCCCGGACAGCGGACCAGCCCTGCCCGGACAAGGGCAAGGGAAAGTTGCATGAAGATGACGTGCGACACCAGATCAACGCGGCTCACAACGAGCGCTTGAGGAACCAGCCGAGCGGCGCTACGGCCGCCAGGGACCCCCGAGACGAGGTCATCGCCCAGCTGGAGAGGAGGCTGGCTCAGATGGAGGCCAAGCAGTCGGCCAACGTCCCCACGGCCGGCGCCTCCAACGACCCCGGCCTCAACGCGCTCATGAACAAAGTTAGCGCCCTGGAGAGGGAGCTGGCCGAGGGGCGAGGTGACCCCATCATCCAGGTCAGGACTAGGACCCCTTTCACCAACAGGGTCCTCTCGGCCCCCATCCCTGAGAAATACAGGGGGAACGCCATCAAGTCCTATGATGGCCGATCAGATCCCCAGGAGCACTTCAGCCGCTATCAAAACAACATGCTGATGGTTAATGCGTCAGACGAATACCTCTGCCGTTGGTTCCTCTCTACTCTCGAGGGGCCAGCGTACGAGTGGTTCAACGGGCTGCCAGAGGGAAGCATTGACTCATGGCAAGATCTCGCCCAACGCTTCCTCACTCACTTCGCCGGAAGGAAGCGCGCCAAGAAGTATTTCACCCACCTCCTCTCCGTCAAACAGCAGCACGAGGAGTCCCTCCGGTCATTCATCGACCGATGGACGAGGGAGACCGAGGAGGTCGAGGGGGCCGATGAGCGCACCCTCCTCGCCTTGTACCAGGGAGCCCTCCGCAGCTCCCCGTACGCCAGGAGCCTCATCACCGACCCCCCGAGGTCGTACACCAAGGCGCTCCAGCGCGGAGGCTTGTACGCCGACGCCGACGAGCTCCACAATCACAAAAGAGAGGGGGGCCATCCCCCCAAGAAGACAAATCCTTCGCCGGCCTCGGGTCCGTCCCCGGCCGGCCAGGGTGCCCAGGGCCGCCACGGCTCTGGTGGACAAAGTAAGAAAGACCGCCACTGGCGGCCGAGGTTGGAACGGCCGGGGGTAACCCTCACCCACCCGGTCGGCACCATCCTCGATTACGCCGAGAAGCACGGCCTCATCGAGCAGGCTCCTCGGCCGGCCGAGGAGATCCTTGCCATCCAGCAGGGCGGCACGTACTGCCGGTTCCACAAGAACTCGTCACACAACACCGACGATTGCATCACCCTGAAGAAGGCCATCGAGCGTCTTATTCGCCAGGGGGAACTCTCCCAGTTTGTCAAAGGTGGCCCACGCAAGAACACTTGGGTAAACACCGGCAAACATGGGGGCGAACCCTCTGCGAAGAAGCGGGAGATTGGCAGACTCAGTGACGACGAGGACTTCGAAAAGCCACCGCCGAAGAAGAATCACATCCACCTCATCGTAGGTGGGAACACTGGGGGGGATTCCGCCACTCAGAGGAAGAAATGGGCCCAATCCCTTTACATTGGGGAGGTATCCCACGTTCCCCCCCCCCCCAGCCAAAGAAGCAGCGAACGGAGGCGATCACCTTCACCGACAAGGATCTGCCTCCGGGTACGGAATCGCACAGGGACGCCCTCGTCATCCGATGTGAGATCGGTGACTCCATCATCCACCGTACTTACATCGATACGGGGAGCTCCGTCAATGTGATGTACTTGGACACCTTCAAGCAGCTGAAGCTGGACAGGGCTCTGCTGAAGCCGATCAAGACCCCGTTATCCGGCTTCACCGGGGACTCTATCGACGCCGAGGGCACGATAGTCCTCCCCGTGGAGGTCGGTGACGGCCCCCACCACGCCAAAATCGACATGGAGTTCATGGTGGTCAACCTCCAGTGCGCCCACAACCTGATTTTGGGCCGGCCAGCGCTGGAGGACTTGGAGGCCATCATCTCCATGAAGCACCTATGCTTGAAGTTCCCCACCAGTGACGGTATCGGCTACGCCAGAGGAAATCAGAGGATAGCCAGAGCTTGCTACCTCAAGCTAACGAGGCCGGCCGAAAGGGAAGGGCAGAGGATAGACACCATTACGGCCGCCGTCGCCATGGACGAGGAGAGGCCACATGCGGAGCCGGCCGAGGAGGTCGAGGAAATCCCTCTGGATACCTCCCGGCCGGAGCGGGTTCTCAAGGTCGGAAAGCAGCTCCCCCAGGACCAACGAGACGCCATCCTCCTCGTCCTACGGTCATACATCGTCGTCTTCGCGTGGGGCCCGGACGATATGCCAGGCATCAGCCGCTAGGTGATCACTCACCGGCTGACCGTCGATCCGGCCTCCGCGCCTGTCAAACAGAAGCGGCGCTACTTGTCCGCCGACAGGCGGGACTTCGTCAAAGGGGAGGTCGCCATGCTCCTATCGATCAGACATATCAAAGAGGTGAAGTACCCAACATGGTTGGCCAACGTCGTCCTCGCACAGAAACCGCCGACGTTCAGAATGTGTGTTGACTACACTGATCTGAACAAGGCATGCCCCATGGACCCGTTCCCTCTCCCCAACATTGATCAGTTGGTGGACGAGACGGCGGGGTGCGAGTTGATGTCGTTCCTCGACGCTTTCAGAGGATACCACCAGATCTCCATGCACGAAGATGACGTCGAGAAGACGGCATTCATGACCCCAGAGGGAATATTTTGCTACCTCGTCATGGCCTTCGGACTCAAAAACTCCGGCGCCACCTATACTAGGATGGTGGCCAAAATCTTCAGAGCGGTCCTTGGCCGGACGATGGAGGCGTACGTCGACGACATGATCGTCAAGAGCAGGCAGGCCACCTCCCACGCCGACGACCTCCGGGAAATCTTTGAAATCATGAAGGAGTTCAGGCTCCGTCTTAACCCCAAGAAGTGCGCCTTCGGCGTCCAGGGCGGCAAGTTCCTTGGCTACATGGTCAGCCGGAGAGGCATCGAGATAAACCCAGAGAAGACGCAGGCCATCATCAACATGGAGCCGCCCCGCAACGTCAAGGAGGTACAACGACTGACGGGGCGCCTGGCGGCCTTGAACCGGTTCCTCTCCAGGTTAGCTGAGAGGGCACTCCCCTTCTTCCAGATCATGCGCAAGGCAAACAGCTTCAAGTGGACGACGGAGTGCCAGGAAGCATTCGACGAATTGAAAAGGTACCTGTCGTCCCCACCCGTACTCTCCAAGCCCAAAGCCGGCGAAACCCTCTTCCTGTACTTAGGGGTGAGCACGTCGGCCATCAGCTCCGTGCTCATCCGTGAGGACGAAGGGGTGCAGAAGGCCATCTTCTACATCAGCAAGACACTTAGGGAGGCCGAGCTCAGGTACTCCCCCATTGAGAAGACGGTGCTGGCCATCGTCCACACCGTGAAGAAGTTGGGGCACTATTTCCAAGCCCACACCGTCCATGTGCTGACCCAGCAGCCTCTCGGCGCGCTCATGAGGAGCCCCACTAGCTCCTCGAGGATGGTGAAATGGGCGATCTTCCTCAGTCAGTTTCAAATTGAGATCAAGCCAAGGCCATCTATCAAAGGGCAAGCCTTGGCCGACTTCGTCATCGAATGCACAGCAAGGGAGACGGCCGTCGCCAACCCCGGGCCGGAGCCGGACGACACGTGGACCCTGTTCACTGACGGCTCGTCGGCCGCGAAATCATGCGGCGGCGGCGTCGTCCTCATATCCCCTGAGGGATTCAGAGCCTACTATGCCATCCGCTTCAACTTCAGGGTGTCCAACAACGAAGCCGAGTATGAGGCCCTCCTCAGCGGTCTCAGACTCGCCGCCGGCCTCAAGGCCAAGCACCTCAGAATCAAGTGCGATTCCAAACTGGTAGTGGGCCAGGTGGAGGGATCGTACGAAGCAAAGGAAGGCCGGATGAAGCAGTACAAACAAGCGACGGAGGAACTGCTGAAAGCGTTTGAAACCCATGAGATCACTCAGATCCCAAGGGCCGAGAACGCCGAAGCCGACATCCTCTCCAAGCTCAGCTCAGACACCCCGGAGCACATCTCCCAGTTGGCCAAGATCGAGGAGTTGAGCATGTCCAGTATCCATGTCAGCCCCGTCTTGTGCGTCCACCAGCGACCAGAGGACTGGATCTCCGACATCGCCACCTTCATCACCACGGGGGAGCTGCCCCAGGACGAGGAGAGGGCCAAACTTGCCAAACTCAGGGCCCCAAGCTACACCATAGAAGATGGCAAACTCTACAAACGGTCCTACAATGGCACTCTCCTCCGATGCCTGCACCAGGACGAGGCCGACACTGCCATGGAAGAAGTTCACTGTGGCGTCTGCTCCTCGCACCAGGGTCCTTTCAGCATGTCCCGGCGTCTCGTCGTCCAGGGCTTCTTCTGACCGACGATGGCACGGGACTGCGCTGACCTGGCCAGGAAGTGCACCACATGCCAGGTACTCCAGAAGGCCCCTGGTCGGCCAGCTGTCAATTATGCCCCTGTCAGCACCGCAATTCCATTCTCCAGATGGGGGATTGACCTGGTCGGCCCCCTGCCCAGAGCCGCCGGGAATAACCGCTACATCATCGTCGCCGTCGACTACTTCACCAAGTGGGTCGAGGCGGAACCCTTGGCCAGCATCACGGGGGCCAGATGCCAAAGATTTGTTTACAAGAACATCATTACACGCTTTGGCGTCCCCCAGGAGATTATATCAGACAACGGCACCCAATTCGAGGCAGCCCCTTTCCAGGAGCTCCTCCGGGAGTTTGGGGTGAGGCACCGTTTCTCCTCCGTTGCCTATCCTCAGGGCAACGGGCAGGTCGAGAACGTCAACAGAACAATAATGGAGGGGCTGAAGAAGAACCTCCAGGCCGCAGGAGGTAGTTGGGTCGACGAACTCCCCAACATCCTGTGGTGCTACAGAACCACGCCGAGGAGGGCGACAGGTGAGACACCTTTCGCCCTGTGCTACGGCTTTGAGGCGAAGGCGCCGACGGAGGTAGCCATCCCCAGCCGACGAGTGGAGCAATATGAGCCTGACACCAACGAAGAGAACATGAAGATTGACCTCCACCTGGTTGATGAGAGGCGTGAGCAAGCTTACGTCCGAGCAGAGAACTACCGGCGTCAAGTGAAATCATACTATGACGCCAAGGTACGTTCCCGGGAATTTCAGGTGGGGGACTACGTCCTCCGCCGAAGGGAAGCAAGCCAGCCGACAGAGGGTGGCAAACTAGCATTGAAGTACGAAGGGCCCTACATCGTCAGTGCCGTGGTCAAACCCGGCACCTACAAACTTAAAGGACCGAATGGGTCCAGTGTACCACGAACATGGAATGTACATCATCTGGTGAAGTTTTATCAGTAATCCGAAGGAGGTGTAGACGGCGAAGCCCTCACCCCTTAACGGGTTACTGATTGAACGCCACCCTCGGCCTCGAGCCACTTATGAATAAAATCATGTTCTGATTTTTTCTCTGGAAATTAAAGTAAAACATTAGCAGGTGCCCTCATCGGCCACCTTAGAGCGAAAGGCTCAGGTCTGGTCGACATGGCCCCTTGCATTTGCAGCCTACGAGCGACAAGCTCAGGCACTCCATTGTATTTTGTATCAGCGAAGGGCTCAGGCCTAGCTGAGAGAGCACATCGTCCTGGCCCCGTAAGCCTAGAAGTGAAACGCTCAGGCATGGCCGACGATGTCCCCAGGACGAGGGGCCCGCAAACGGCCCACGTCTTGAAACGGGAAGCTCACCGCGTCGTCCACGCGCCAGATCGCAGGACGACAGGCCTGAAATCATGGCCGAGGTGACAAAATCCCAAAACTCAGGGATGGGCAACGACAGCCGTTGGAAACCGACCAAAAGTCTAGCCCGCGTCATAAATAGGCGACGGGACCCGCCCTGAGACCACGGACGTTATAAACGAAGTCCGAACCGGCCGAAGGACGAGCACACCCTTCGGCCGAAGCCTGAAAGAAGGATACCCCCCGAAACGAAAAAAAAAAAATACATATGAGGGAAAAAGAGGGAAGCCGACAGTCGCGCACACTTGCCGGCCTCGAGCAAGAAAAAAAATAATCCCCACAACTCAGGCCCAACTAGGCCAAGTACATATCAGTTGAACACAAGTTTAGTACCACTGACAGGCAGCATGGACGACACGTCCACACACCACGAGGGAACAATCAAGGCCGAAACACGCGCCTACAAAATCCTAACCACATCGGTTGGGTGACAAGCGAAAGGTGACCTTTATCGGCCATAGTCCTTTGAGGCACCAACGTTTGGTATGAAATAAGCACCGCAATCCTAAGGATGACCAGGACGAAGCGGGCACTTATCAAGTAATCAAGAAACCTCTACTTGCCACAGCACCTCGGATGGCCGACACAGGCAGTGGAACCGTAGCTAGCCGACGAATACAGGACCATCCCCTTGAACAAGCCAGACCTTGGCCGGCGGTGGCACCGGGAAGAAGTAAATGCCTAACATAATACTTAGGAAATTATCCAAGTACTCAAATGGAGGAATTCTAGCCGAAGCGGGTACCAGTATACTACAAAGCCGTTAGCTACCTACACCTTCACATGTGTACTTGTGAAAAAATTCAAAGTCCACGAGACTATGGTGAAGGCGCCCTTATCGGCCAGAACACAGGGATACAAGCCGACAACGGCCATGGCCAGATGTATCCAAGGCCAGGACGATGAGGATGCCAATGATTGGACGGAACGGACACTACGGTCAAGGCTAAAAACGGAAGCACCTAAAAGGAATCCAAAACACTTAGGAAATTTTTTAAAAAAAATCCTAAGTGTTATGATGGCAAAGGAACACCGGTCAAGCCGACAAGGCCACCAGGCCGAAAGGAAAGCATCTAAGGGGATCCCAAAACACTTAGAAATTTTTTTTTTTTTTTGGAGAAATTCCCAAGTATTATGGAACTACGTCCAAGCCGATCAAGCCACTAGGCCGTAAAGACAGCAACTACATGAAACCAAAAACACTTAGGAAAATTTTGATACGAAATCCTAAGTGTTATGACAGTAAAGCAAAGAGGCATAGGCCGACCAGACTAAGGGACGGGAAGGCCAACCTCACGGACGTAGCGGACACTCGCGGGTGACCCAAGTTATGACAAGCCGGGGACGGGAAGTGAAATGACAAAGCAAACAAGCACACAAAGGATTCAAGGCCGAAAAGGACAGCAAAAATTTCTTCAATTGATAAAATTCATTACAATTGGGGGGCACTACGGCCATTACATAATTGAGCAACAAATGAAAAGCTAACTACAATAGGGACTAGCCGATCAAGCCTTCGGGGCTGGCTCTTCAACCTCGTCGGCCCCCTCCTCATCGGTTTCAGCTTCCTGGCCGGCAGCGGCGCTGGTGGCATCATCCAAGAAATCGAACTCAGTATAGTCCGGCTCGCCGAGGCCGGAGCTTTCTATGGGGGACTCCCGCTCCGACAGCGGAAGCGTGGCCTGCCCTTCGGGATCCTTCATCAGCTTTGGGAGCTTCAGGTTCCGTCTAGCCCATCCAGCCGTGTAATTCATGGCCTTCAACGCCCGGGATAGCCGCCGGTACAGGAGCCTTTGCATCCGCTCCTGGCCCAGGTTGTAGTAAACAGACATCTCCTGGCTGAAATACTCCCGGCTGGCAGGGGAGTTCATCCCCCAATTCTCCAGCCTGGCGGCCACCACCTCGTAGCACCAAGGGAGCCTCTCATCGGCCTTCCACCCTTCGGCCAAGAACTTCTCAACAGCCTCATCGGCAGCCTTCACGACGGCGGCCTCGGCCTCAGCTTTCGCCTTGGCGGCCTCCTCGCTCCTGCGCTTCTCGGCCTCAAGCGCTCTCCGGGACTCTGCGAGCTCCCTTTTGCTCTCTTCGAGCTGGACCAGGGCAACGTCCCTGGCCGCAACGGCCTCATCAGCTTTGGCCTGCAGCGCCTTGGCATCCTCCCGAAGCCGGTCAAGGCAAGCTACCGCCTCGTCGGCCGAGGCGGCCTTCTGCTCCAGCGCTTGCAGGCGGGCAATCTCCCAGTACTGCCTCTTGTGGCTTTCCATAAGCATGAAGGCACTCTGCATAAGAAAAACAAAGGTCAGGCAAAGAAACTCTACATAGACGAAGAGAGACAAGAATATAAGGACAGTCACTTACTTGGACGAGGAGATCCATGCCGCCCTCATAAATCTTCGGGTCCTCGATCTTCTTCAAATGAGCCCGATCTTTGGCCGGCATGGCCTTGGCCAGGACGGTGTGACCGGGGACGAGCTCATTAAACACGCCCCCGCCGACGGGGTACTCTATCACTTTCTGATAGGTGTCACCGGCGGTCTCCTTGCCGGCCCTCTGCGTCCGCGGCTCCTGGACGAGAGGCAGCGCCGGGGCGGCATCACCAGCAACAGTAAGGTCCACGACGGGACCACCATCGCCCACGCTGGGGACAGTAAGCGTACCGGCCTCACTAGCCGGAGAAGGGGAAGGGGCCCTCTTCGTCTTCTTAGAGACGCTCACGCCGGCCTCGGTCAACTTTTTCTGGCCGTCAGTGGCCGGTCTCTTTTTCTTGGACGGGGCAGGCTTTGGGGCCGCGTCAGCAGTAGCCCCACTCCCACCAGCAGCGGCACGACGGGCCGCCTCGGCCGCCTTAGCAGCCAGCTCTTCGGCCGCCTTGACCTTAGCAACGGCCATTATGGAACGCCGGTCCATGACAAAGTCTACAAAGGAAAAACAAACAGATTAGTAAGGCAAAGGACAAAACGTAAAGACAGAAAGCCGAAGAAAAATTACCATCGGCCTCAGCAGGAATGCCCAAATCCGGGCCATCGGCCTCCTCAAAGGTGGTGATCATCCTCGGCCAGAGTTGGAGGTCATCCTCCTTATCTCCATACAAGTGATATCTGAAGAAGCCGAGGGCCGTCATCTTGTATTCAGTGACGTAATCTTTCACGCTCCTCGGCCCCCCTTCCAGGAAAGCCTCCACCTGAGCGTCCAAAATAGAGCTCTTCGGCGGGTCATGAAGATTGAACCTCCCGGTATGGCCGAGGGAGGGGAACTCGGTGCCACTCTCACCAATGGACACAAACACGAACTTGCTCTTCCACCCATGAATGGACGTAGGCAAATCCGTGAAGCTCCTCTTCCTCGGCAGCTGTTGAAGAGTAGCATAGGCCGCACAGTTCTTGTGGCTTCCTCGGCCGATTTGATACAAGTTCATGAATAAGGCCGTGGTCGGCCTGTAGCCCAACTCCTCACACCGAAGCAAGAAGCCCACTATCAAGGAATAACTGTTCGGCGTCAGCAAGGCCGGAGGAAGCCCCACCATGTCCAGATACTCAGTGACGAAAGGGTGAAGGGGGAACCTCAACCCCTTAGCAAAACTCATCGGGTATACTCCGAAGTATCCCGGTGGCGGAAGCAGAACATGGTCCGTCGGCTTGGGTGCCCTAACCCGCCCGAACGGCCCCACGTACATCTGGGCGACAAGATAGTCGGCCGCACTGCTCTCCGGCTTGATCAGGAATATGTTGGTGAGGTCCAAGTAGGAGAGGCCCGGCCCATTCTTCGGCCTCCTCACCCTCTTCGGCTTAGCGTCGCCCTTCACGGCAGATACCGGCCTCGGGCACGGAACGGCAGCAGAAGTGGACGCCCCGTCCACCGCTCGGGACGCGCCTACGTCCTCACCCTCTGAAGAGGAGGCGGACTCCTCGTCCTCGATCTCCTCGTCCATCAGCTCTCCGGATTTGTAGGGGCTCAAACGCTCTATCTCCTCTTCAAACTCCTCGAGCACCTCGTAGTCAAGGGACCTCATGGAGGGCTGGTCGTCGTAGGGGTAGTAGTCCTCGTTCAAGCTCTTCATTACTACTTTTACGGACTTAAGGAGAACAACTTACGATCTAAAGGTGTTTAAACGCCTAACACTAGATCAACTACTTACGGAGCAAAATATGAAAAGTGAGGAAGATCGTGATGAACACTAACCTCAAACAACGAAGAACAGGCTTGGGAGTTTCTCTCTCTAGAAAATCGGCCAGCACTTCGACAAATTCAGAACGCAAATGAGATTCTTCGTCGGAGGGGAAGGGGTATTTATAGACCCCCCCCCCACCAACGGTCACTACACGTGGCACTCTCCCAATGGCCACATCAACGGCCACCAATGGGAGGCCACCACGACATCAACGGCCCACTGGCAGATCAGACTCTACGGCCTACACACGCTCAACGGCTTTACAACTGCCAGCAAGCGCCCACAACGTCCCACTTGCTCACCAATATCACAAACGCCAAACAATAAGAGGATGGCAACGGCCAGGAACGTAACGGCCACAGAACAAAGGGTACAAATAGCCCACAGCCTTCGGCTCCTCGTAATAACCCTTGATGATAACTCTCTACAAGCGATCTGCGCACAAGGGTTCTCCCACAGGGTTACCTTGGCCAGAAAATCGCCATGAGAGTTGGATTCAGGGGGGCTACGGCGAGACCGCTTCGGCCAGGGACTCAGACAACTCCTTCACCCCTCACACTCTTCGGCCTGAAGCAGTGGGGGACTGGGGGACTACACCGGCCTCAACGAAACAAAGAGTATAAACAAGGTAACCACGAAACATGGCCACATCATCCACAACAGCACAACGGAACCTCATCGGCCAAAGGCCCAAAACGTCATTAGCAACGGCCAACAAGCCACTAGAGGCAAGGACACTCATCGTCCTGCGCCAACAATTAATCTTGACGGGCCCTTCGGCCAAGAACACGAAGGCCAACCAGCAACGGCCAAAAGGAGTGTGCGAGCACCCTCATCGGCCACCCAAAGGAAAGGACGCCATCGTCCTCGAAGCAAGGAACAACCTCACCGGCCCGAACATAAACTCCAATCACCAACGTACAGGAAAGGGAAAGCGCGCCTTCAACGACCACCATTGAAAGAAGGACACTCATCATCCTAAAACAAATTAAGGAAACAACGGCCTCCCCGCCCACAGCGAGGAACAGGTAACGGCCAAAGAGAACAGGATCACCAAAGAGGAAACAACGCCAACGCCGCAACGGCTAACGGCCTGGAAATGCCCGCGTCGGCCAAAAGCAACAAAGCACAGAAATCTACTCTCCTTCACTTCGTCTACGTCTCAGCTTAGAGAGTGGGGGACTCCTGATGGAGTATATGGGTCTGAGCCCCAGGACCCACATACTCGGAAGAACAGAAAGCACAAAGACAACAGAGTGGCGCCCTCGTCGGCCAAGACGCCCCCGTCGGCCGAAAAGGGGCCACCTCGGATTATGGTCCTGAGTCCAAAGAACCCGGGTGCCCTCGTCGGCCGTGCCCTCGTCGGCCGTGCCCTCGTCGGCCACGCCCTCGTCGGCCACGAAGACCTCACAGAATCGGATTTTATACTCACTCATTTGTACAGCCCATTAGTGGCTTTGTATTCGGCCCAGTAGCGGTCCAGTTGTAAATGGGCCTCCCAAGCCCAAGGCTTGGGAGCCCAACCCTAATTTTCTCTATAAATACTCCCCTTGGGAGTAGTTATGGGGGTTACGAAATCATTCTATTGAGGCATATTATTGCACTTCTCTCTCTAGCTCTCACTTCTCTCTAGAATCTAGGAGTTAATACTCCATCAGTACCATAAAATAAAAAGAAAAGAAACAAAAAGAAAAGGTACGAAAAGAGTCAACTGAAACCCTTAAAGAATCGATACTTAAAAAGACCATCTCATGATCTTCTGTTATGGTCGTATCGGAGAACCTCAACAGAAGAAGTGGTTCTCTGATTAACACCAGACCAGAGAACCTTTATGGTCGTACTAGAGAATCTCAACAGAAGAGGTGGTTCTCTAATGTCACCAGAGCAGAAGACCTCATAGGTATTCTGATGAGGTAATCTGATTGAGTACTCGATATCTGCTATTCTTCTCTTAGCACCTCACAAGAAGACAGAAGACCCACTTGCAGTCAAAATGACAAAATGTATAGAAAATAATGTTACAAGAAATTATGTGACAAAATTTCTTATGACATTATTTTACTAAAAGCAAGTAATCCTATCCTGAGGAAGCATTGAACACTCGGACTAGATACTGAATTTCTACAAGCTAAAGAGATAAAGATAAATCATCTTATTTAACCAGATGACTTGACTAGCTCTAAGGATCAGGTGAGATTTGTTCAATAAAAAAAATCAATATGGAAGAGATCGATCAACGTTCTGGATAATAGAAGCAGACGTTCAAAAGGATAATTAGTATGGTTTACCAGAAACTCTTGAAAGGAGGAAAGAAGAAGGATGATGTAAGAGGAAAAGAAGCAAACTGAATTCTTCAGAAAATTTTGGCTGCATGCTGAAACCAACAGAATACCTCAAGCTACTCTGATCCGATCAGAACACCTCAAGCTTCTCTGATCGATCAGAACTCCTCAAACTCTGTTCGACCAGAACACCTCAAGCAGTTCTGATGAGGAACAGAACTCCTGGTCAAACAGAAAAGAGGTTCTGTTGAAACACCAACTCCAAGTTTATTATGTGCTTGGAACATCTCAAAATGTTTCAGGAAATTTCAGGAAATTATTCTAAGTATGGGCTATCTGAAAAATCAAGAAGAACATATATTGCTCAAGACTGAAGGGTCAAATCGATCGACGAATATCCTGAAATAAAATATGGAGTATTTATCCGAATTCAGCCATGCAGAAGGAATTAATCTTGATTACATCAAAAGCATGTTGACATTCGATAAGGTGTTACATTAATGAGCATGAGAGCGGATTATCTTCAATCAAATCAGAGATATGAAGAAGAAGGGAATTTATGATAACATGCAACATGTCATCACGACAAATGGTGATAAAGCAGTTGAGTCAACTATTCAAGTAAAAGCAACTTCATTAAATTAGTGAGTTTCCCAACCCACTTATCTAAGTTGCTTTTGCACTGAAAAGAGAGCTTGCCGCCAACCATTAATCAAGTTGCAAAATGTTCAATTACTATCCAACGATAATTAGGAACAGTTATCATCAACAGGTATAAAGTCACTTTTACCTCATCCCACTCTTCATTTAAGCTCCATCTCTCAAAACTAGCTCAAAACCATCTTCAAAACTTAACAAGATCTTTCATCATCCTCATCAAATGACGAACCCCTCAGATTCTTCATCTCACAATATCTCTCTTGAGCTAAGCCTAGCTCCTCCACATCTATCGCCTCAAAGAAGATCAATTCATTCCCATAATCAAGAAGAGTGTCATTGTGCTCTTGAATCAAGAATGATATTCGAAAAGGAGAAAGAAACTCTGCAACATGAGACACTCAGAGTCAACAAGATATGAGTGTCACAAATACGAATTCTCTCTGACTTCTCTCTACACCTCCCCCAGTCAAGAATTCCGGCAGCCCACTGCTGGCCGGAAAAACACCTCCCCCAGCCTTGAACTCCGGCAGCCCACTGCTGGCCGGAAAAACACCTCCCCCAGCCATGAATTCCGGCAGCCCACTGCTGGCCGGAAAACAAGGTCCTCCAGCCCACTCCTCAGAATTCCGGTAGACCAATGCTGCCCTGAATTCCGGCAGCTCACTCATGGCCGGCAAAAATCCTCCTACCCACACGAATCCTACCTACACAACCCATGCACCTCAAACCGTTGGACCATCTCCACCAACCGTGGAAGCTCCCAGCAGGGTGGCCGGAAACTGGCCCGCTCTATCTGCAGCAACCACTTCGGTTCCGCACCGAACACTGGGACCAAGGTTTAAAAAGGCGGGTTCGGGTTTCAAGGCGGTTTGTTCCTAAGAGGCGAGGCGTAAGCTTTGAGGCGTATTGAGGCGTAAGCCTCAAAAAATACAGACATATAAAACTTGATATAATTAAACTAGTAACAAACAACTCAAGAAGTAAAGGATATCCATAATTATAAGTCCAAAAAGTGTGAGACACAAATACATGTGACCTATTACCAGTAAGTCGCTAGGCTTCAAACACACAAAAAGAAACATCTCACAAAAACAGACACATCACAGTCTCACAAACACACAGAAACAGCCCACATAAATTGCATCACCAAGGCCTTCAGAACTACTAGGTGTAGCAGTAGAAGCATGACATCTTTTCTTTGAACCTCTCACCATTAAACTAAATCTACACAGAAGTATTATTAATGACATGACTAAGGAAGCAAAGTAAATCCTTTACCAGTTAGAAAACATGAACAACAGTTTTGTAAAAGAAGGATAAGAAGTAGTGAAGGAGAAGAAGAACAACAGTTCCGTAAAAGAAGGATAAAAAGCAGTGAAGGAGAAGAAATGAAGGAGAGGAGTTGAATAAGAATAGGAGAAAGAGAAGGGGATGGAGAAGAAGAGAGGAGAAGAAAAGTTACCTGGAAGCTTTTGGGTTGTTGTAAGGAGATGTCGCAGGAGAAGAGAGAGTTCTTTGCATAGGTGAATAGAAAATATACGTTAAGGTTCAAATCCTTCAAATCCTTATCATGATTTGAATGAAATAAGACTTGTTAGGGTTTAGTATATGGGTTTCTATTTAGAAAGAAATCTGGTCTTTTATTAAATGAAATACTTGGACCTGTTTTAAGTCACTGCGCAAGTGTTCAAGGCGTGCGCCTCAACAAACGCCTTTGAGGCGTGCGCCTCAATCTATGAGGCGTAAGCCTCTTTACCTGTGAAAAAACCTACGCCTTGATACCCAACCAGTACGCCTCAGCTTGAGGCGCGCCTCAGAACCCGCCTCATAAGCGCCTTTTTAAACCATGACTGGGACCTCAATCACGCATAGGTGCAGCCTCTTCCAGGCGCTCGTTTGTGGAGGTCTCCCGTCGAAGGTTTTGATTATGTAGGGAAGTAAAGAAATAGTTCAGCAGGTTACGTATGATGACCTTCCTTCATATTGCATTAAATGCAATAGGTTGGGTCATTCTCAGGATGCATGTGGCTCAAGGTCACGCACGGAGGGTCATATCAAGCAAAAGAGTGATGGGAATGATTGTAACAAAACCAAACCAACAAGGATACTGGCTGCTCCAAAACCCTCTGAGGAGTGGATTCAGGTTCAGCGTAAAAAGAAAGGTAAGGATGTGGTTATTTTTCATGGCGATAAGGAGACTGTTGAATCATCCAAAAAATTGAAGACAAAGTGATGGTTCTGGAACCACATGTGTCGATGGATGATCAAATTGTGGAGGTGACAAATCAGCAAGAGGATCTGAATGTTCAAGAGGAGGAGACGACACATGGAAACACACAATTTGGGCATCATGAAAATGTTGGTGCACAGGATGAGATGCCTTTGCATGGAGAGGCTGTTTCGGTTTCAGACAATGGGCTGAAAGAGGTTGCCAGAGATAAAGGTAATAAGATGGAGGATAAGATTCATGTATCCACTGATGTCACAAAACTTATTTCATTTGAAGAAGGAGATGTTCAGCAGTTGGAAGAAGGTGAGGTCGGCTATGGATCGGAGGATAACAATACCAAAATAGAGGAGCTTACTATGGCTGCATGGAAATCAGTTTGTGGAGAGTTGAGAAAAAAAGTGGCCTCAATAGAGAATGATCAAGCCGAGGCGTTAGGGGTAGTCGCCAGAAAGAAAATCAAAGATTTTCCTCCTCGATCCGTTACTACTCGTTTGGCAGCTAAGAGGAACATAAGGGAAGGCTCCCCCAAGGTTTCCTTATGAATTTGCTAACTTGGAATGTACGAGGTCTCGTTTCTGTCTGCCCGAGACTACGTGATTTTGGCAGGCAACATTTTTTGAATTTTATTGCTATTCTTGAGCCTATGATTAGCCCGGATAATGGAGTTTTGTATTTAAATAAAATTGGCTTCTCCGATTTGTTTATGTCGGAGTCAAATAAGATTTAGGTTATGTGGAATGATTCAGATTTCAACGTGATTTCAGTGATTGATAAGGGTCACTTTGTGTTGATTAAGATGAGGTACATTCCCTTGGACTATCTGTTTGTCTTCAGGCCAGTGTATGGTAAACATACTCGTGCGGAGAGAGCTTATCTTTGGGAAGGGATGTCAACTTATGCTCGACCCGAACAAGTTCCTTGGGTTTTGGGATGAGATTTCAATATAGTTTCTTCTTGGGGAGAGTATAAGGGGCCTTCCCGTCCACTCATTAGGGATATGACTGACTTCCGGGATTGTATTGATGAGTGTGCTTTATTGCAATTACCTACAACAGGATCAGCCTATACGTGGACTGGGGTTGGATCAAATGGGCGCATTTGGGAGCGGCTAGATGGATACTTGGTAAACCAGGAGTTTATGGAGTTTTTTGATACATGCAACATCCAACACTTAAGCAAGGCTTCATCTGACCACTGCCCTATATTGCTTATGTGTGCTTTAGATTCACTTAGAGGCCCATCACAATTTCGCTTTCAAAATATGTGGATGACTAGTGCTGTTTTTTTGCCCTTTGTTAGTCAAAAATGGGAGACTTACCCTCGCTTTGGGGGAATGCGTGGCATGGTTTCTAAGCTAAAGGCTCTTAAAACGGATCTCAAAGTTCGGAACAAGGAACACTTTGGGAATGTTTTTGAGGAGGCAGATCGGTTGGAGCAGGAGGCAATTTTGGCTGAGCTGAATTTTGAAGCAAATCCTTCTGAAGAGACTAGGGCTTTTTGCCATAAAAAACAAGCTGAACTTCTAAAGAGGGTACATCAGAAGGAGGTGTATAGGAAGCAGAAAGCTAACATAAAATGGATCAAGGAAGGGGGTGCGAATACCAAGTTCTTTCATGCTTAAGTCAAGGCCAAGGTTAGAAAACAATTTATACGTGCTATTAAGACAGAAGACGGTGAATGGGTTTATAATACCAAAACCATTGGGGAGGAGGCTGTGAAGTTTTTTGAAAGCTTATATAAATTTGAACACACTGACTCATATGAGGTATCCTTAGACATATTCCTACTATATTGCAAGAATGTGATAATGATGTCTTGATGGCTATTCCAAATGAGATTGAGGTTAGAGAGGCAGTTTGGAGTCTTAATGCAAATGCTGCGCCTGGGCCAGATGGTTTTTGGGGAAGTTTTTATAAAGGATGATGGGAAATTATAAAACAGGATGTAGTATTGGCTGTTGAAGAATTCTTCCTTGGAATACCGGTGCTTAAAGGTGTTGGCAGTGTGAATTTGGTTTTAATACCAAAGAAGAAGAGCCCAGTTTCTTTTGGTGATTTTCGCCTGATTTGTTTGTCAATGTTCCTAAGCAAAATAAACACCCGCATTCTGACAACAAGGTTGACCTCTATTCTTCCCAAGATTATTTCTGCCGAACAGTCAGGATTTATGAAAGGTAGGGAAATTAATCATCAAGTTTTAGTTGCACTGGAGATGCTACATCATTTAGACACTAAGGTTCGGGGTTCTAATTTGGCTATTAAATTGGATATGGCTAAGGCATTTGACAGAGTTGTTTGGGGTTTTTTGGATGCTATTCTCAATAAATTTGGATTTGGGTGCCAAGTTAGAAGACTGATTATGGGCAACTTAAGGGCAACCCATATATCAATTCTTTTAAATGGTTATTCTTTTGGATATTTTCAGCCTTACCGAGGGGTAAAACAGGGAGACCCTCTATCTCCTCTTTTATTTATTATCATGTCTGAAGCTTTTGCTAGGGGTGTTAATTCTATGCTCCTAAATGGTGAGATTGAAGCTTTTAATTGGGGCAGAGCCAAGAGAATTTCACATTTGGCTTTTGCAGATGGCCTCATGGTCTTCCTAAATGGTTCGGATAGGTCTATTGGGAACTTCAATAAATTTCTTACTCTCTATCAAAGGGCTTGTGGGCAGCTTGTCAACAAGGACAAAAGCTGTTTTGTCATTGGAAAATCTGTTACAACTGGAAGGATTATGCATATTGAGAACAAGCTCGAGATGAAGGTTACTAAACTACCTTTCAAATACCTGGGAGTGCAACTTCATAAAGGTATTACGAGGGTGGGACATTGCAAACAAATTCTGGAGGCGATTGATGCTAAATTAGCATCCTGGAAGCTGAAACTACTTTCCCAAAGTGGGAGACTCACACTGATTAAACATGTCCTAAACTCCCTCCCTTTACATATGCTAGCTGTTTCTACCATTCCTGCAGCAGTTATATGTATGATAAATAGAAAGCTAGAAAATTTCTTTTGGGGATTGAAGGACAATAAAACCAAACATCACTGGGGCATCCTTTAAAACATTATGCAGGCCAGTTGAGGCAGGAGGTATTGGCATCAGATCACTAGCGGATATCCAGAAAGTGGCATCTTTGAAACTCTGGTGGGAGTTTCAAAAGGGCAGGTCAGTTTGGGCTTCACTGATGCAAAGTAAATTTGGTAAAAGGCCACTAGGGGAGATTAAGTCTTCGGATTCTCCTACCTGGAGGAGAATCTGCCAAATTCATGGGGTGGCAGCCCCTATGGTGGATAGAGGTACTACCTCTATCATATGGAAATACTCAAGTGATGGTTGTTTCAGTTCTAACACTGCTTACAAAGCTTTATGGAGGGGAAGGGGGAACACTCTATTTATCAAGAATATTTGGCATAAAAAACAAATACCCAAAGTGAAAATCTTCCTTTGGAGACTTTGGCACAACTGTCTGCCATTCCCAGAACAAATGGCTTCCTTCACTGTGTCTTTTCCCTCATGGTGTCCCTTTTGTAAGTCTGTATCTGGAGCAAAGGATCATATCCTCCTGGATTGTACTCTTGCAAGATCAATTTGGAGCTTCTTTGAGGGATTGTTGAGACCTGGAAGACGAAAGGTCAGTACTATTAAGGAGCAACTTCTCAAATGGTGGAGTGGAGGTGTTGGGAAAACTATGGATGCTACCTATACAGCTATCTTGCCCGGGGTAATAACCTGGTACATTTGGAAGACCTACTGGGAGGTGATCTCGAAGGATTTAACTCCAAATAGGGACACAATCATTCAAAACATATGTAAATATATGTTAAGTTGGTGTTGTGTAAATCAAAATCTAAAAGGGGATACTAAACTTAAAGATTTCGGCCTCATACCTAGCTCCTTTAACTTGAAGAAGATGAAGGCAGTTACTTGGAAGAAGCCTGAGGGATCTGCGGTCAAGCTTAATTGGGCGATTTTTAGACAGACAGGTAGATCATCGGCCGGAATTCTTTTAAGAGACCATGCAGGGGCTATGATTGCAGCAGCTGGTTTCCCCTTAAGCGGATCCTCAGTGGAAGATGAAGCGGGGAAAGGGATGAGACGGAAGTGGAGATAGAAGGACTTCGACGTGTTTGGATATGATTTATAAAATGCTTCTGCTAAAATCAGAAGTTGGAGTGTTTGGGTGAAAATGAAGAAGTGATTCTGGTGCTCTAATTTCCTCCTAGAATCAGTTTTTTTAGAAGCTGGGGATACCAGCTTCTGAAAACTGATTCTGATTCTGCTTCTGCTTTAAAAATGAAGCAGAAGTAGAATCAATTCCAAACACCCCCTATTCTGGATAGAGTGCGGTCTTTTAACTATCCGCGGATATGGGTTGATGTCGGAAATGAGAAGCTGCTGGGTCGGTGCGGTAGTTGGGCGGGTCAATATCCTTTTGTGACCCAGATTGATTATTTCCCGGCCCAGGCAAATATAGTTGCAATGTTGGTTGCTAAAATGGGCTGGATGGGGGGTTTCAATTGGAAGGCTGGAGAATCAATTCCCAGGGAGCTCAATGGTGCTATCTTATTGGATTCTAAATCCATTCCACATATTGTCTTTTAATATTTTCTTTTACTGAAAATGTTTTTTCTTGAGCTCAGAGGTTTTGGTTTGGCCCCCCTCTCATGTAGGGATGTCAAAAAAACCCGACCCGCAATGACCCGCCCTGGCCCGAGACATTTGGGGCGGGTCCGCCCCGCCCCGTCTTGCAAATTGGGCGGGTCTGCCCCGCCCCGCCTATACAATGGGGCGGGTCCGGGTATTAGAATTGACCCGTGCCGCCCTGACCCGCCCCGACCCGACCCGCTGAATATATAAGTATACATACTTTTTCTTAAATTATAGTACTACAAATATACTTCAACATACATATGTGTATATACAATAAATCATAAATTCTTTGATCTTATATTATATGAATACAGAGTATATATTATAATGAGATGCACGACGGATTATCAATGTCTTCTTTATATATAGAATTTTAATACATATATTCAATTATTAATATAACTAATAAGATTAACTATTCAAGTTTGAGTAATTTTTCCTTAATTTTTGAAATTTTTAGCGTATCATGAATTTGATTTAATATATTGATTTTTAATTATTATTTAGAGATAAACATTATGTAGATTCAATTGGTAACAACTTTCCACAAAAGAAATACATACTAGCTAATTAGGTTACGTCCGCCCCGCCCCGCATGGGGCGGGTCATGGGTCAACAAATTTGGACCCGTGCAGGTCACGGGGCGGGGCGGACCCGCCCCGCCAAGTCACGGGGCGGGCCCAGGTCTTGCAATATCCGCCCCACCCCGACCCATTGCCATGCCTACTCTCATGTATGTTTTTTGAGTTTTTGTTAGGGAAAAGGGTCAGATAGGGCCTCGAACTTACAAAAAAATATCAAATAAGACCATATATAGGAGGCTCTGTCCGGCCGACGACATTTGGGGCGGTTCCCGGTGGAATTTTTTAATGAAACTTTTTGAGAATCTTATTCATTAAGTCTAGCTTACGCATACCAAATGTCAGCTAAAAATTCAATCTTGAAAGAATTCAACTAAATTCTTTAAGATAACTGCGCTTTTAGCTGCGCACTTATCTTCAAGAATTTATTTGGATGTCTTCCCGATTGTCGTTTTAGCTGAAAATTGGTATGAGTAAACTAGACTGAAAGAATAAGATGCTCACAAAATTTAATCGAAAAGATCCATCAGGAACCGCCCCAAATGGCGTCGGGTGGACAAAACCTCCTATATAAGGCCTTATTTGACATCTTTTTATAAGTTCGAGACCCTATTTGACCCTTTTCTCTTTTTGTTATAATATCTGGCAAATGTTCCCCGGCATTTGCCCCACTGATTTTGATGGTTTACTCACAGGGTTAAAATAAATGTTTCAATCACTTTAAGAACTTCTGTAAAAACATTAATTTATGTGGAAAGGTACAATTAGACATTTTTTATTTTCAATCTATCACTTAAGCTCTATACCAAAAAAGGATCATACTTAAGCTCTATAATTTTTTATACTTTTATGACTATGATAACAACTTTAGTGATCATGATTGTATCCAGTTCTATACAACATTGACTATGCATAGTAATTATAGTAATATTTTTATCCATAAAGTTAAATTTCAGTAATTGATAGAGTAATTGTTTAGAGAGAAGTGAGAGCTAGAGAGAGAAGTGCAGTAAATGCTTCAATTAATGATTTTGTCAACCCCTACAACTACTCCCAAATGGAGTATTTATAGAGAAAATGTGGGCTGGGCTCCCAAGTCTTGGGCTTGGGAGGCCCATCTAAACCTGGACCGCTACTGGGCCGAATACAAGATATGTAGAAATGACTAAGTATGAAATCCTGTTCTGTGAGTCCTCTGTGGCCGACGAGGGCGTGGCGATGGAGGCATGGCTGACGGGGGCACCCGGTTATCCTGGCTCCTGGACCTTATTCTGAGTTGATGTCTCCCTAACCGATGGAGGTCATCTGGCCGACAGGGATCCTACTAGGTGACGGTTGTGCCTTCTGTTCTTCTGAGTATGTGGGTCCTGGGGCCTGGACCCATATACTCCATCAGGAGTCCCCCACTCTCTAAGCTGAGATGTAGACGAAGTGAAGGAGAGTAGATTTCTGCAGTTTTGGTGTTTTAGGCCGTTGTGGAGACGTTGTGGTTATTCTTTATATTTGGCCATTGTGTTCCCCGTTAAGGACGAGGGAGGTCTTTGTCCCGCAGATAGTGCACGCTCGTTCGTTTGGGGTCGATGAGTGTGATGGCTTAGTGGCCGATATGCGTCTTTGGTATGAGTGGCCGATGGGGGCGGTGTTTTCCTTTTCCTTGATCGTTGATGGTTGAATTCTGTGTTTTGGGACGAGGAGGTCATTGTGGTTGTCTCTTGTTTAAGGGCGATGAGTGTCCTTTGCTTCGCGTGGACGGTGAGGACGTTGTTTACTTTCTTTAGGGCTCTGGGCCGAAGCGGCGTGAGTGATGAATGTTTTCTTGTTTGCTTTGGGGACGATAGTAGTCCTGGACTAGAGGACGTTGTGTGTCCCTGGATCTCGTTCATATCTTTGCGTTTTGAGGCCGGTGTAGTTCCCCAGTCCCCCACTGCTTCAGGGCGAAGAGTGAGCGAGGGGTGAAGGAGTAGTGTAAGACCCAGGCCGAAGCGGGATCCTCGTATTGCCCTTGAATCCGATCCTTTGGCAACTTCCTGACCAAGGTAACCCTGTGGGAGAACCCTTGGATGCATGTTGCTTACAAAGGGTTATCATCAACGGTTTTTTACGAGGGCTGATGGCTGTTAGGTTGTCTTTTACTTTGCTTTTATGGCTGTTATGGGGGCCATGCTGGTGGTGATTCGTGTGGCCGATAGTGGTGTTCGATGTCAGGCAGCCGTTGAAGTGAAACTGGTTTGCTCTAGTGAGGTTGTTGAATGTCTTGGCCATTGTAGATGCCATTTATCCGTGGGTTGAGCCGTTGGTGCTCCATTTGAAGTGGGTTGGCTATGCCCGAAGTGGGCCTGGCCCGTTTATGAAGCGGTGGCAACTCATTGGGCCTTGTAGTGGTGACCGTTGGGGTGGCCACTGGTGGGGTGCCACGTGTAGTGACCATTGGGGGGTCTATAAATACCCCCTTCCCGAAGGAAGTCCCCCACTTGCATTTTGAGTTAACGAAGTGCTGCCCAAATTCCTAGAGAGAGAAGCTTGCTCGAGTGTTCTTCCGTTTCTTTGAATCTTCAAAGGTCAGTTCATCACCCTTTCCTTCATTTCTTATATATTTTGCTTCCTTGGCCTTTGATCTAGTGTTAGTCAGTGAACCCTACTTAGATCCAAAATAGAACCCCGTAGGGTTTTAGTAGTTGTTGCGATGAAGCCTTTGGACGAAGAGTACTATCCGTATGACGACGAGGTCTCCGCGAAGTCCCTCGATTATGGGGTGGTCGAAGAGTTCTGCGAGGAGATTGAGGATCTAAGCTCCTTTAAGTCTGGGGAGCAGGAGGACGAGGAGGCTGCATCGTCATCTGAAAGTGAGGACGTCGGGGTCTCTCGTGCCATGGACGGGACGTCTACCTCGGCCGCCATTCCATGCCCCAAGCCGGTGTCTGTTGTGAAGGGGAAGGCGCCGGTTAACAGGACGCGTCGGCCGAAGAATGGTCCAGGCTTCTCCTATTTAGACCTCCCCAATATCTACATCATCAGGCCACAGAGTAACGCGGGTGAGTACGTGGTCGCCCAGATGTATGTGGGGCCGTTTGGGAGGGTTAGGGCCCCCAGGCTGACGGACCATGTACTTAACCCTCTGGCGGGGTATTTTGGAGTGTACCCGATGAGTTTTGCAAAAGGACTCCAGTTCGTGCTTGATCCTTTCATTACGGAGTACCTGGACATGGTGGGTCTCCCTCCGGCTTTGCTGACACCGAACAACTATTCCTTGATCGTCGGCTTCCTCTTCCGCTGTGCTAAGTTGGGCTTTACGCCGATGACGGCATTGTTTATGAATTTGTACCAAATAGGCCGAGGAAGTCACAAGAATTGTTCTTACTATGTCACCCTTCAACAGATCAAGAGAAAGAGGTCCTTCACTGATCTTCCTTCGTCCATCCATGACTGTAAGAGTAAGTTTGTTTTTGTGTCGCTGGGTGAGGGAGGCACCGAATTTCCTTCTGTCGGCCACAGTGGGAGGTTCAACCTCCATGATCCACCAAA